ATAAAAAATACATAAAAAAGCAAGCATATAGAAATGTTAACACAGTTTAAAATGTAAAACAAAGCACAATAAAAGAGAATAAATGGAATTCACAGTGTTGGAAGATTTACTAAATAAACTAAAAAAAAGTCCTAATAGAACATATACCCAACAATACATAGATGCAACGCAAGCATCAATAGCGAATAGTTGGAAAACTATAGAGCAACACGCAAGCACTGAAAACTTGCCACAGCTTCGTGAAAAATTCCATGAACTAAAGACTAAAATAGAATCATATTTAGTCTTAAAAGAAGAAGCGATTGAGCGAAACACAAACAAATCAGAAACAATGGCAACTTTTGATCTGGTAACAGCTAGTAATTATTATGACACACGTGAAACACTTGAGACACCGTTCTTGTTACGTCAGCAATATTGACCATGTTGCAAGCGATCAGAGCACTCGCCAAAGGTAACATGCAAAACAGTTTTGCATGACACATTAGAAGTAGGGGAAATGGAAGTAACCAATGATTTGATTGGTTGCTCATAGAAATAAGAATTTAGGTTAATTTAGATTGTAAGCATATAAAAGACGGCGATGAGCCGAAATAAAGTCATTCTTGGTTTAAGACGCAATTCTATTGTTAGTACTTATTCCTTGAAGCAAAATCGTGCATTTTAATGCTCGGANAGGACTGGAACTTGGCAACGAGATGTGTATACAAAATTAATTCCACACTCATGGAGAAAAATTTGCGTTATTCGAAAAGGGCGCATCGTACCTCCCGTACAAATTTACTGTTTTATACTGCATATCTCTAGAGGTGTTCATGGTAGAGTACTGGGACTTGGTACTGGGGTATGTAAATCAATTCTAAATTCATGGAAGAAGATTAGGGTTATAAGAAAAAGGGGCGTGGAACTTTCTGTACAAATTGACTTTTTCTCGCCTCATATCCCTGGAAGTGTTTGTGGAAGAATACTGTAACTTGGTATGGAGTTGTGTATACAAAATGTATCAATTGCTCATGGAAAAAATGTGAGTTAATAAAAAAGGAGGCATATCGCCTCCCATACATACTAAAAATTTCATAATACATATCTCTGGAAGGATAGAAAATCTCTGGAAGTATTTTAAATTTATTATGGAGATTTATTTTATAAGTGTCGAAAAAATGTCATTTAATGGAAAAGGGAGAGCCGAGTACGGCCTTATAATGTAAAGCTGTCATGATGCATACATACCTATTGAGGCATTTGCTACAGTAATGAGGAGTGGTATTTTATCAAGGCCAGGTTACCTAATTTGTCGGCCGCTATGGTGTAGTAGTAAGCAGTGCGCGCTTTCACTCATCAGCACCTGGTCAAAGCAACATCCCAAAAAAATATAGAAAAATGTTTTTTTCTTAACAGCGGTCGTCCTTCGGCAGGCAATGGCAAACCTCCGAGTGTATTTCTGCCATGAAAATCAGCTTCTCATTAAAATACAATCGCCGTTCTGAGTCGGAGTAAAACTGTAGGTCCCTCCGCTTTGTGTGACAACATCAAGGCGCACGCCACAAGTCGGAGGAGAAGCTCGGCCAAACACTAACATATGTGTAAGCGCCAATCTATTATTATTATTATATATATTATATTATTATTAGGTTACTAAATTTGAGTAGCAAATATTAAAACCCGCCGTGGCGCCTCCAAGAAGGTTACACGTTCACGCATCGGATCCCTGGAACCATTTTAAGGTAAACTTAGAGGGATTGGTATCTTTCGAGTGCCTAGCGCGCAGACGAGATTTTATAATTTCATAGTTTTAAACGGCCTAAATACCTTAACTCGCTTAAAAAATAACGAGCTATAACAAAATGGGCACAGAAATAAAATATAACATAATTAAATTATTTTTCATATTTGTGGGGTGAAACCCGCGGGTATAAGCTAGTATTTTATAAAAACGAAATTATTATTATTATTTTTTATTTATCTCCCATCAGTTTAATACTTCTACAATCGTAAAATTACTGGGTACCAAGGCCACCCGGGTGAAATCATCAGACCTAGTAGAAAGCTGCTGCAATATTGCATATACATATGTACATACTTCAGGCTAAAAAGGCTCACAAGTAAATATTTCATCTTTGCAAGGTCGTAGTAAAACCAACGCTTAGTTATTACTTGATTATTGCTGCAAAATTTCTGCTTATTCTGCGCTACTTTTCAGTAAATAATTATGCACTTACATATGTATGTATATAAGTACATGCATATACAGTCGAACTTCTCTATAACGTAGTCACTGGGGATCGCCGATTTCTACGTTATAGAGAAAATTCGTTATAGAGAAACTACTGATTATGTATTTGGTTGTATGTACATATTTACATATGTATATGTAAACACTAGCTTTTTATTTCATTAAATGCTATTTCGATACATACAAATTTATATAAACATTAAAACTTATTTAATATGAAAGAACGACGTTATTCTCGTTTGCCTCAAACTTTTAAATTTCTCTTCATCGACAAAATCTTCACATCTATTGAGGAAGGAAAAAATTTCATCCGGGACATTATTTCTTGATTCCATAAATGTTCTTATTGTGTTGAAAAAGAGTGTAGTTGAGAAAATGTCGGCAATTCATTTTCTTCTTCATCAGCGTCAGAGTCATCATTTTCTGAATCTAAATAAAAAACTATATTAGTGGGTATTCTTCATGATTCTTGAGTGGATATGTTGTACTTACTATTAAGCCCATACTGATTTGATAGAATGCTTTGCAGAATATCTTCATCGGAAGGGCACTCCATAGTGAATGTTTCGTTGTTAACATTAATGTAATCTTCGATAGTTACATCCTCAATGTTGTTATCTTCGACGTACGCGGACCACAAATCTGCCAAAGGAAGGTTTTCATCTTCAATATCCACTGGTAGTTCAATGCCTTCATCAAATCCAGCTTTTTTAAAGCAGTTTGAAATTGTGTCCTTTTTGACATCGGAGCTCCAGGCTTTACTTAAATCCCTGATTGCATCAAGTAAGCTAATTGACATAGGAGCTTCTTTCTCTGAATAGCACAGAACTTTCTTTAGAATTCGCTTTCTATAGTGATGTTTCAGGTTCTGTATTATTCCCTGATCCATTGGTTGTAGGGATGATGTCATATTTGGAGGAAAATAAACAGTTTTTATATTTGTTAGCTTCGATTGTGCTGATTTTGGATGTGCTGGACAATTGTCAATAAAAAGTAAAATCTTCCTTTTTTGAGCCGCAAATTTTTTGTCCAACTTTAGAAGCCACTTCTCATATAATTCACTAGTCATCCAAGATTTTGAGTTATTCTCGTAATCCACTTCTAGATATTGTAATCCTTTAAAACAACGAGGATTTTTGGATTTTCCTATGACAAGGAGTCTAAGTTTTTCTGTTCCACTCCAGTTTGAACCTACCATGACAGTTATTCTTTCCTTGCTTTTTTTGCCACCAACACATTTTTCATTTCGAAAGGCTAGTGTTCTGGATGGCAAACATTTAAAAAACAATCCTGTTTCATCAGCGTTAAATATGTCATTCTTATCGTAATCTTGAATAAGGGAAGGTAAAATATTTTGTATCCAATCATCCCGAGTTTGGATATCAATGGATCCGCTTTCACCACAAACAACTTTTCCAACAATGTTATGTCTTCGTTTAAATTTATCAAGCCAACCAGCGCTAGCTACAAAATCGGAATGTCCCAATGATTCTGCAAACTCCACAGCTTTTTCTCTGATTAACGGTCCGGAAAGTGGAATGTTCTTATGCCTTGCAACGGTGATCCACTTAATCATGGCTTCATTAACATCAGGATATTCACAGGATCTAGCTTTCTTAAATTTCTGAAGTATACCAGAAGAACTAGATTCTTGAATCTTATCTTTATTCATCAAAATTGTTGACAAAGTAGTTGGAGAAATTCCAAACTCTGCAGCAATATCCTTCTTTTTTTTATTTCCTTGTGACACTGCAGAAATTATAAGACACTTTTTTTCAAAAGATAAACTTTTGCGCTTAGACATCTTAATTTGAAAACAACCTTGCAGCACAAAACTTATTACAAACTAAGATTTTCTTACTCACTTTCATTTATTTTTTTTTCCTTGAAATAGGCACACAAAATGTAACGTATTTTACCGCAATATTTGTGTGTGCATAAATTCATTGGAATTTTGCGACTGCTAAAAAAATTCGCTATAGAGAGGTTTATTTGGTACATAAAACACCAGTTGTGTTGTTAAATAAGCTTCGTTACAGAGAAAACTACGTTATAGAGAAATTCGTTATAGAGAGGTAAAAATGTGTAAAATACATCAGGAAAATGCAGTGTTTTTCAAAAAAATTCGTTATAGAGAGAACTTCGCTATAGTGAAGTTCGTTATAGAGAAGTTCGACTGTAGATACATATATACGTATGTGTGCATGGATAAGAAATGCAGACCTTCTTTTATTGGGTTTTCTTCCGAGTAATACATACATACATACATATTCTTATTCTATCAACGTGTGTATATTTTTGGTTTCTTATTAATATTCTTAGAATGGCGAATCAAAACATTTAAAAGAAATACAAAATTTAGATGGTTTTTTCTGCTTTTCTTTACTCTCAGTCTTCACCAGACGCGCACTTTTCTCATTAGTCAATCTAATCCCCACTAAGCGACGAAATTTGGTCAACAAGAATTTCATTAGGAAATAAACCAAAATGCTGTAACATCATACAAATGTATTAAGAAAATTTGTTTGTTTGTTTTTAAAACATTAAAATCTGAAGATTGTTAGAAAAAAATAAAACTAATAAAAAATTAAAAAATAATATATTAAATAAAAAAAATAAAAAATCCTTTACGGCCGAGGAGGACTTGAACCGGGACCCTCTCGGCTGCCAGCCTAATGCTTTGACCACTCGGCCATTGCGACTCTTTGAGTGGCACGGGCATAAGGCATACATAAACACTATCAATTGATTGTCTGTGTTTGCTTTCACCACACATTTTTGGTGAAATTTTTGTGACTATCTTATTCTGAATACCCAAATCGCTCAAGTCACAAAAAAAGATCACTAATTGCTAATCTCAAATTTAGTGACTTCAGATGAGACTGAGTTACTGGATCCCAGGGTAAGTTCCATTTATTAGATACATATAATAGATAAACGCATTTGTGTTTATCCCTACATTCCTTCCAACGAAAGCAATTGCTTGCATTACTTACATATACATACATACACATGGGCGTAGCCAGGTAGGGGCAGGAGGGTGCTCGAGCCTCCCCATCCCCCCCAACTTTCAAATTTTCCTTATATATATATAAAATAGTACCATGAAATGCCAACTTAATAGGGTCGATCCCCCTCCCCCCCCCCCCCCCC